GATCTTTCGCTGTCTATAACCGGGTACCCATTCCCACCTGGATGAAGTGAGGAAAATTCGTGTAAAGTGCCTTTCCCAAGGACGCAACGTCGGGTCCCTGACGGGATTCGAACCCACGACCTTACGGTTGCGAGTCCAAGAGCCTAACCACTAGGCCACCGACGCCACGTCTAGTCTTAAATGAGAACCACAACGTCTGCTGTAACATTAAAAAAACTGTAGATATTTTGCCTTGGGAACTTTTTTTTCATAGTATTTTGTCTGTACTGAATCCTGATACATAATATATACACGAGCATTACATCTGAAGAACCCCCTCGACTTAACCCTATACGTACGTCGTGTTTACTATTGTATCCATAAGACGTGGGGAACTCTGTGCCACCACTTTCCAAAGAGGAAATTTACTCGTTATTCTGATACGTACACTTTGCGTAGTAGTCTGTCAAAATGATTTTTTAAGAAATACTAAAAGTTTCAAAGAGATCTTCGTACTAGAAATATTCTAACATGTGAAAAATACAAACCCGGGAGTACAAAATGACCACGGGGCGTACAGATAGGGTTAACTTACATTTTTAAAACATGTCGGCCAGCTGTTAAGATGTACTATGCCCATAAAAAAAAATACAGTTACTTGACTAGTGGTATCGGATTCATATTCTCAAGAAATATTTTATCAAAATCCAAACTCCTTAGATCTATATAGAAAAAAAGTGAAAATATACAAATGTGGATAGAATTGTTAAAAGTATGGAACCGGTTTCTTTTTCTTTCTCCTGTAAAATGTTGCTTGCTGGGCTTTAACAGCTTGGCAGTGAGAGGAAACTGTAAATAATACTCTAAAAATAACTCGCCCCCCCCCCTTCCCCCCCCCATTATTTCTGTTCCCAGCTGAATGTGCCCGTCCATACCTAACCACTGCTGACTGCGGAGACAGCGGAACTGACTTCATCAACGCAGTCTATGTGGATGTGAGTATCGTTTTGAAGTTGTCATCTTCATTATTTCATAGATGCCAGTTTTGTTGGTGAACTCCTCTAGCGTTGGTATTCCAAGAATCTCATCCAAACGTCATAAGGGCTAACTGATAAATCTTTTCTTCTGTTCTGAATATTTTTATTAATCTTTCCAGGTCTGACCGATAGCATGACATGAAACAAGCGTTTATCAATTTTGGGACATAAATCCTGTTCATTTGCCTTGCTTTTGAAGAAAAAAAATAGCCAGCTAACTTGAGTGTGGAAGTCTAAATGAAGGAGGTAGGAGTCGCCTCGTGCCAGAGGTAAAATTAGCGTGAAAATGGCTGCCAAAGTTTAAAGATTTCCAAAGTTGTTTTGTCCTTGGAAACTTCAAATTTACTTTGTTGTGCCTTTTAGATGTTTAGATATTTTCTCTGGTATAATCCAAAGAGAAATTATGTGGTTTTTAAATGGGCCTGAAATGTGTTGAGCCTAAAAAGATAGATAAAAACTGCCCATTGCAGTTTCTTCGAGTTCATTGTTTTTGACGAGCGCATGATTTCACCACGATGCCTCATAAAGAGCAACACATTCATTTCATGCTGCCCAGCTCCCATGTGTGTCTACGTTGTGTACGGAGTCCATGACGAGAAGCAACGCGCAATGAAGATATTTCCTAATTATGTGGAAAACCCAAGTACTGACCCATCAAGGCAACAAATCAATTATTCATACTTGAATCATGTTTACTAAGTTAGAGACCTGTAACAGAAATGTCATGGAACAATATAGATGTAGCTTGTTTCATAAAGAGCTTGCAGAGCCGAACATTTATGTCTCCGTAGCCTCTATATTTATTTCTCAGTATAATAACACTCAGGATAATTATCTTAGTGCAGTGGGCCCTAAGATTATCACTTTCATTTACCGGGAAGCTTGCTAGAACTCAACTCGCGACTCCCACAAGGCATTGAGACACAGCACCACGTCCTATTATGCATTTTATTCGAACTCCCCAAGTCCCATCTCGCCGATCAGAAAATGTCAGTGACATAAAGCAGCAAACTGTAATTGTCAAGAAACGCAATGAATTCGCTGGAAAAGCCGCGGTCACATGGTGACTTTGTCCTATTACTACGATCAACACAATCGGTCTCTGGGGGGTAATCGCCGTTGTGAGAATTGGCGCTTCCGAAATCAAAACGTCCTAATAAGAACTGAAAACTTGGCAGAAAATACGTTTAGAATAGGACAACTCGAGGTACCATAGTACCAAGCTTAAGCCTCTGACCGCGCACTGTTAAACTGGTGTTAGTGACTTTGCTTAGCATGCACGTTCATCCGAATGGTCAAGTCTGTCTGATTGGATTATGATCGAGTCAGGTATGAACATCGGACTTGAATACAACTCTCTTGGTTCTGCTTGACTGTTGACTGAGGTTTTTCCCACATGTCTTCGAGCTATGATGATGTCTTTGTGCTTTTTAAACCTCAGTCGAAAACTAACGGGTGCTCTGGTGTGGTTTGCTCCTTCTTTCCTATCAAAGATCTATCGTCCTTATCTCCCCTTCTTCTTTTTTATGTTTGTTACTCTCTTGTAACACTTCTAATCTTCTGGCGCCCATATGACCTTATGCAGTTGCGAGCGCCATAAAACCTCTACTAAAACTAAAAACCCCACCTTGTGTGTCAAAAATAAGTGCATGCATGTGTCCCGAAAAAGCCATCCATTCCTTTGACTGGTTTGTTTGCATCATTTTACTCTTTAGTGGGGAAGCACTAAGTCTTGTAAAAATTTCATGAAGGCTTCCTTGAATGCGGGATAAAAACTATTTGAGCTTGTACGGCTCTCTCTCTCTCTCTCTCTCTCTCTCTCTCTCTC